TGCTTGAGCGAGCTCTACTCTCTCTTGGGCGAGCTCATTCTCGCCTGGGCGAGGAAACCAGACAGTGGAACTTCTCAGATTTCTACTATTCTCACTTAAGCGAGCAACACGTTGCTTGAGCGAGCTACATCTCTCCTGGGCGAGATTGGGTCCAGAGAGCTACTCACTTTTCCTGTGACTCCTCGCTTGAGCGAGAACCTCTCGCTTCAGCAAGGTCGCCTCTCGCTTGGGCGAGAGGACAATTGGGGTGATCCTATTTGCTCTCTCTTGATTATTATAACCTTTTGACCACATTATAACCTGTAAAAGACCTTATGATTTTTAATTGCATTCAATTGACTTGGTGGAGAGTTGGTTTGTCGTCAAGCCTATAGTAGTATATTTCTTCATAGAGGGACTGAGCGTTCTTTATTTTTGTCCTTATACACTGAAAGAGAGAGAGAGAGAAGAGAGTAGAGTTTCAAAGCTTGATGATCAAGCAAGAAGATAGAGAATATAAAATTATAAATGCCTTTTAATTACTTGAACTCAATGATATTAGTGTTGTGTTATTTGTATATCTGTTATTTTGAGTTTTTTGTTTTGATGATATGTTTCAAATTGTTCCTTTATTCTTTAGCCAAGACTTTTGCTTGAGGGCAAGCAAATCTCAAGTATGAGAGGGTTGATAAGTTCATATTTTGATATATTTTATAGCTTATATTTATATACTTAAATTCTATTTTATATATATTTACATTAATTATGTTATTAATTGTTGCAGTTTAGCTTGAAGTTGTTATTAGTGCATTATGGAGATATTCTAAATAAAAATTATATATTTTTAGTCTTTGGCTGTGCTATGTGAAGCTGAGTTTGAATTTTGAATTTAAAATTTAAACTTAAATATGAAGATTTGAAGCGATTCTAATTGTGGATAAAACTAATTTGAAAAGATAAAGCTCAACTGACTAGAAACTCAGGATGCAGCCTATATAAAGAGGCCTTATGCTCCACACTTGGGATACTTTTTCACTTCTCTACACACCTTCTTTCCTTTCTTATACACTTCTCATCTCGTTTCTCTTATACGGGATCTTTTGTATTCTCTTAGCAGGACTTAGAGTTTCGAGCTATCATACTTGAAGATCAGAAACTCATCTCACACTCTAGTTTGCTAATTTTTTTTATTATGGATTTACTTATGATTGTTTTAATTCTTTCCTTTAGCATGAGTAACTAAGTCCATATCTAGGGCCATGGAAACTATTGTTCATGAATTTATGAGATTTTGAAGTTTGAATCTATAGTTGATTTCTGTTCGTGATTAGCTTTTATCCTATTACGCATAATTATAATCCTAATTAATTATATCATTAGGCGATCGTACCTCGATTAGTTAATGGATCTATAGGGTAAAACGAGACAAATGATTAGGTGGATCAAACCAATCTTTCTCTTCCAATCGTTATTAAATTAACAAGTTCATGGGTGCTTTATGCTTTCTTTACCTGATGTCTTGCATGATCATTGGGGATATTAATTTAAAGAAAAGAATATTAGTATTGCATTATCATTGAGTATTAATAGTATTTATATGAATGATTAGTAATCACAAGGAAATTAAATTTAGAGTTAAAACAAAAAAATAACATAAAGGATTGAATGAGAAAACCCATACGCCCTAAGTTCCTCCCCTATAAGTTCAACCAAGACGTGTGTTGTGTTATTTACTTTTATAATTAATTTTATAATTAAATTCTGGTTCTTATTAAATTTCACATCTTTTAGGCTCAAATAATTGAATTAAGAAATTCTTAGTAATTGAAAATCAATCCTTGTGGGACGATATTTTGGAAACTTATTTTAGAATCCTTTATTACTTCATGACAGGTACACTTGCCCAACGAACTAAAACAAGACAATAGAATCTTTCAGATTTTTGCTATTCTCACTTGAGTGAGCAACACATCGCTTGAGCGAGCTAAGTCTCTCTTGGGTGAGTAGCATTCTTGCCTTGGTGAGATTGGGTCCAGAAAGCTACCCACTTTTCTTGCGACTCCTCGTTTGAGCGAGAACCTCTCGCTTGAGCGGGATTCCTTCTCGCTTGGGCAAGAGGATAGTTAGGGTGATCCTATCTGCTCTCATTTGAGCGAGATTAATCTCGTTTGAGCGACACACCCTGTACCCAGAACTCCAAAATCTCTCTTTCAAGTGAGATAATACCAATTCTTAATCCTACTTTTTAGATTATCCTACATACAACACACTTAATAATCATTTTCGACTCACACTGTACTTTATATTCAACAACATCACAGAGTACAACAATCACACTGCTCTTAATCCAGCAAACATACAACCCTTATTTATATACATTCCAACATATGAAAATTCATACACTTTAGATATACGCAATACAATTTCAAGAGAATAATAAACACATAATTAAGCTGATTTGACAGCCAAGCTGTTACAAGAAACTTGTAAACTTTACAAAAATTAATAAATGTTTACAAATTTAAATTTTGCCTCATCTTAATTTGATAAATTTATTTTTAAAGTAAAATAACTTAATTTGTAGAATTGATAGAATTTTTTATATTTAAAATATAAATTTTATTTAATTTTAAATAAAATAATTTAATAAAAATGATGAATAAACACATGTGTCTTTTACTAAAAAAATGAAATAATATTTATTAATTACTCTCTAAAAGATGAATAATTAATCCACCTCTAACTTTAATCTTAACCTGCTTTTTTTTTTATATATTAGAGTTTAAGATTAAAGTAAACTTACTATATATGGAGTTTAAAAAAATGGAGTTGCGTAGTGAGTTATGTGGAGTGGGCTGTAGGTTATAGCTTATATTGACAACTCTTATAATAACATGACCTTTAAATTCATTAGTGTACATTTTCGGACCACGTTTAATAATGGAACCAAATCAAAGATTTAAATAAAATTTATAAATGACAATGATAACAATGATTAGTTAAAAATGGAAGTGATATTTTAGAGTCAAAATCTATTAACGCATTAGCTGTTAAACTTAAATATTTACAACACCTAATAACTTATTAAAGAACACAAGATTCATTAATCTAAATGTTAAATTGTCTTTTTTTATAATAATATATATCAAATTTTATATAATTTGAACATTTATAAGTATGGTGTCTAAAACTTAACATTTACTTATATTTTAAAATATATTATATATTTAAATGAAATAATACAATAAAGTATTTATTATTTTTTATATAAAATTTTATAAAATTAATTTATTTGATAAATTTTTTTTAAACTTACGGTTAAATTAATTAATCTTACATTTTATGAAAAGTTATTAAGTAGTGTAATTGTTCGAATTTGACACAAAGTATATCGGATCTAACTTTTTATTTTAAATACTTAAAACTATTTAAAGTATTTGTTTTTAAAATTTATAGAATGAATTAATGATAATTTTTTTAAAATTTTTTAGATGGATATCAATATTAAGTATTAATGTATTTTGAATTTCTTAAAAATTTGTTTGATTCCATATGTTAATTTTTTTAACGTTTTATATATATACATGTGCATATACCCACACACAAGATAGGCTTTCTGAGTGAGAAAAAAAATTAATGATTTATTATGCAAGTTGACCCATGTAAGTTCATAATCCTGGGCTTTCTTTGTCCAGTCTATATGAGCATTCAACCATATCGGTTAAGTTATTAATAGTTCTAACGGCCGGATTTGTTTGTTTAAAGTCTGTTATATAAGCTTCCAATTCTCACGGTTAGAAGAAGAGAACATTACTACTGTAGTTGGCTGAACACAAGATCAGGGCTGAAGGTATTATAGATTTTGAAGACCAACGTCTTATTATTCCACTGGTTGCATAGTCTAATGAGAAGAGACAAGGAAAAAGGGTCAAACTCCCACTTTAGTCCCAAATTATGTAACTTTGAGTAAAATTAATTCTCAAAATTTAAATTTTGAAAATTTAATTTTTAGAATTAAAAATCGTTAATCGTTATTATTTTTAAGAAATATTAAAATTAAATAACAAAATTGATGATTTGTCATATTAAATAACACGTGACAGTTTATTTTGAATACAAAATTTATCTCATTTTAAAGTTTTTAAAAAATAGTTTATTTTCTTTTTAATTTTTAACATTTCAAATAATAAAGTCCTTTCTTATTTTCTGTTTCACTTTTTTTATGACGTCTTCTTCTTTCTTTTGACCACTGTAAATATGGAAGAAGATATTACGGAAGAAGGCGGGATAAAGAATAAGAATATTAAAAGTTAAAGATAAAAATAAATTATTTTTAAAATTTTTAAAATAACATTATTCTGTGTTAAAAATAAATTATTATGTGTCACTTTAACATGATAAATTATCAGTTTGTTACTTAATTTTAAAGTCTTCTTACGGCAATAACTACCTTAAAATTTCAAATTTAAGAAATTAATTTCAGCCGAATGAAACCTAGTTGAGACACACTTAGATTCAATATGGTTTATCTCCTCGCACCGTGCAACCGCTGGAGAGAATCTAGGTCTGCATCCGCTCATCGACATGTTCGACAATAAACGAAATTGTATACAGTTGCATGCACGCAAAATCACCATGGAACAAGTACATTATCTTGCGGTATAATATTAATATGTACATTGTATACATTAGTTAATCATCAGTGTCATAGTTTTGACTACTTCACTAATAAGATAATGCGAGATGCAAAATTGAATACTAATAATCAATTTACAAATCGAAGAAGCAATTTAACTTGTAATGAATCCAAACATAATTCAAATGGAAGGAAAAAAAATCATCCAATACAAAAACAAACACGTACGAAGCCAACTACATATAGAACATCCATATACACTTGAACTGGCCATAAACCTTCAAATTCGATCATAAGAATAAACAATGAAGAGGTTAAAAAACAAACACGTGTAGCAGCAAATTAATTTTCCAAATTTTCAGGGAAACAGTGGTGCAGCTTTAGACTAATTAACAAAGCTACAATGCCTCCTGATCTCACCATCAGAGCCAGTTAGCACTTCAATGGAACCCATGTGTACCATTGCTTGTGCAAACTTCTGAGCCCAACTTGCACCATAGTATGCATTTCCTACAACCATTTCCTTTGTGGATTCGCTGCTTAACAACGTTTGATCTGATGTCAACAAGCCACGGTGGTTAACAAGTCCCTCATAGTAGTTATTGTCCAAACGAATTGATGTGGAAGCATCAAGAGGCACTGTTGGATCTGTGCTGCTTGGTGGCGGAGGACATTTTATTTTCAACAATGCAGCATAAGAAGGGTCCATTGAGGGGTCTTGTGTAAACGTGTCGTTGAAAGAGTATAAGCGTTTTGAGAATGAGGAACAATGCGATACACCTATTGAATGTGCACCTGAAAGAGTCACCATTTCATCTGCTGACAACCCCTTTCGAGCAAAATTGTTAACAAGTTCACCAGCACTGAAGGTTGGTGCAGGTAGATTCGTTAGCACTTCATCACCGATAGAGATGAGACCGTCTCTGCGTCCCGATGGCACGTCATAGTTTATGCCACCAGCTTTGAGGGCACTGTCTCGTGCTGCGAATGCAAGAATGTCAGCACATGATACTGTTTGAGGACATGCAGCCTCTAATTGCGTCTTAGCATTCTCAATCACCTCGAAGCCACGTAAGCTTGGGTTGTTGATAAAGCTGTCTCTTTCAGCTATTGGGTTACCCGGTGTGGATGCTAGTAACACAGAACCGTCACAACCCTGTTTATATAGAGGACCCAACAGCTTCATCAGAGACTTGCACAGTAATTGGGTAATTAGTACTTGTTTACTTCAAGGACAAAATTTGGGTACGTATAGTCTTTTAGGTGCTTTGGATATTGTTTACTAATTAAAAAATAGACTAATAATAAAATGTGTTAAAAAGAGTGTACCGCTGACATTGTTGTGTTGAAAATTATAAATATTGTGAACTTACCCTGACAAAGCAATCATGGAAATGCATTCTGATGAGACCAGCAGCTACGCCTGGGTTGACAGAAATTGCTGTGTTTACGGTGTTTCTCACTATTGTCTCAGCAGATGGACATGTGGAGCTATAGAAACCCACTTGCAGAGATGCTGAGGCCAACGATGAAACAGATAGAATCAGAGCCACGGTAGAGAGCATCATGTGTGGAGTAACATCCATTTAATATTATGTAGAACAATGAAAGTTGCAATTTAAGGGCAAGACAACAGGAAGTCTATTGTGTTATGCTTGTATATTTGATGTTGTTGATTACAGAGGAAGAGGTGGAGAGAAGTTGTACTGAAACGAAGGTATTTATAGGTTCATCTTGAAAGAGGTGAATGTGATAATTATTGACTAATGGGGTTTTGCTTTGGCAAACAAAATGAGTGTAGTTGTAAGCAGAAAATTAAAATAGGTATTAGTTGAAGTTTTCTACCATTGAACAATTCTCTTCCGGTTCAACGTTACTCTCTTTCCTTTTATATAGCTAAATATTGTTACATATTACCATTAGGAAAAGACAATATATACCAGCTTGAGGCCAGTGGAATTTTTATACGCTTTAGTGGTTGCATATGGCATTTAGCTCTAGTACAATTTGATCAGGTGTTGACATTAATTTATAATTTAGTGTAGGATTTGGAACTGCCGCTGTATACACGTTGGTTATAAGAATAAGTTAGATTGCTTACGAAGAAAACGAATACTACTATTTCGTATAGGACATTATTAATTATTATCAAATTAAGGTAGAAATTTTCATGGTAGTGCGGAGCTATGGAATCGTTCTAATAGTAATTGATTAACATAGGGTTGAACCTCTTGTTGTATATCTATCGTTGAGAAGTGTTCAAAGTAACGAACAAAGCCACCGTACAAGACCCATCTATGTTCAGATTCATGATATTCACTTTTGTTTATTATTATTATTATTAGGTTTGAAACTTAAGGCATAAAGGTCACGTTTCAATTTCAACGCACCAGCATAAAAATTCATAATGATATTTGTTTGCCTCCGATCCGAAATCATTGAAACGATTAGAATATTTTTGGAAGAAATCAAATCATGCATCGATCCAATCTAGCCTCAAATCATATTGGATAATAATGTGAAACCTACTTGTGATCTGTGAAATGAGCAAAAGAAAGCAAAACAAAGATCGATAATGTAATGAAAATAGAAAATAGAAAATAAATAATATTAATATAAAGAATTGTAAGAAAAAGTAAATATGAAAAGTTCAAAATCTAATTCTATTAAACCAAATTTATGCCAAAACTAAAGTCAATGAAATATTTTTTTAAAATAAGTTGACTAGCATACTCTTATAATTACAAAAAAAAAAAAAAGAATTTAATCTAGTTTTCTTTTTTCAAGTATTGAATGTTCAAGTACCTAACACGTGTTTCACGGAATAATTTAAGTTTAGCTGTAACTAAAAAGCTACATATTTTTAAAAATTAAAGTATAATAAAGGTATTACCCCCTATTAGTCCTCAAGTTAAAAAATAATATTAAAAATAGTAAAGTTTTCTTACTAAGTTTTTGTGTAATTGCCTTTTTAAGTTTCACTACTCAAAATTAACACCTCACACATAGGTTATTTAAAAATATATCTTAATCTAACAAACCTATTTAGAAACAAACATGTGAAATAATTATTTTTTTTAAACAATAATATGATAAGTTTTGCAAAAATTTGACAGTTTTATACGTATTTTCATCATTTCAAAATATTATGACATGTGACCATCAATCTATAATTTATGTATCATTAATAAAATTTAAGACTTATATAAAATCAATATTAAAACATATATTGTATAACTAAATTAAAAAAGCAACTCCTTAATAATGATAGAAAATCTAAAACATAACAAATACAAAGAGAAATAAGGTCACCAAATAATAGAGGCTTAGCAATCAATATATTATTGGAATGAGTTGATGTTGCTAATAGCTTACTACTCTATTATTTGATGATATGGAAATATTATATAAATAGAGAGTAAGTCACGTAGTCTCAAAGATGGCATAATAATTATAATAAATAAGAAAAAAAAATAACAAATGAGTAGTTCACAAATATAAAACATATTTATAACACATTATTTTAAAAAAAAGTTCATTTTAACTACTATTTCAAAAGTTTGTTCATAGCAAACGTTTACAAATTTATATCGTTATTATTTCATACACAAATTAAATAATAATAATTTCTTAAAACATTATAAAAACAAATGTCAATATAATATTATAAAAATCACTCATGAAAGAATAAAATTTCAAGGTAGTTCCACCCACTGATAGCTCTCTCCAAGGGCAGTCTCTCTCTTATAGTAGCTTCATCTAACAGGTAACTCTCTTTTGTATACATTATGTTATAATTAAACTCAACAGAAGTAACTTTACCTCATTGATAGTTCTCTGTTGCATTGATAGGTGCATCTAGCTAGACCATTATATTTGCTAATGATTATGGGATTATAATATAATTTCTCCAAAAAAATATTTATGTTGTATAAAATCATTCTTATACACAAATTAAATTTATTTTCAACAATAAAAATATTAATTTCTCATAATTAAATACTATAAAATAAAATTAAAATATTTTTTCCTTTAGACTTTATAAATAAATTTATATAATTTAAAAAAATCTATTTCACTATAAGCTTTCATATGATAAAAAATAATAATTTTTAAGACTTGTTTTTCTAAACAAATAATTTATAGACAATAGCACATGATAAATAATAGAAAGTATAATTTAAAAATATATCACTATGATCATTATTCACTTATAACAGCATTATTCACTTATAATAGCAGAGAATCGCTAAATTATTTTTTAAAATTATTCCAAAATCACATGAGAGCTAATAACCAACGAATATTGACATTATCAACATTCATCAAAACTTTAGAAAATTATTTGGATCTACATTTATACTCAAAATTTTAAAATATATCTTTCTTACAAATAAAACATGTCATGAATTAATTTATCTTATATCCTAAGTTGTGAGCGTAAGTTTGGATTTCAATTTTTTTTCTGCATAAGTAATACCCCTTCTTCTTAAAGCACTATTCTTAACTCTAAAAATTTCATCTAAAGTTATCTATGTCAAATAGAAAAATAAATAAATAATAAGAGTTTTTCTAAAATCTCAAATAAATAAATAAATGAAAATTCATACATAAAGGAAACTAAATTTGAGATGAGAATGTAAAGGAAGTTTTGCAACCACGTAAAGAATTGGAAGGCACTGTCTAATGAAACAAAGAGGGGAAACAAAACTTTTCATTAAGGTTTAAATTAAAAATTATCAACTATTAAATGTTAATCAACTAGTAGAAGTGTTGTTCTAACTTAGAACGTAGTCTTGAGTTTAAATTTCAATAAATACAATTGTGTTAAATATTTAGAGAACGAGCTTTGTCTCATAGTAGTCCTATTAGGCTCAAACAAAGTTGTCTTTACAAAAAGATACTTGTAATTTACACAAAATAAAATTAAAAATTACTAATATGGGTAGTATATAAAAATATATATTAAAAGAGGAAATATTAAAGCTATAAATATATAATTAGTTAAAATTTAAAAATAAAATTTAAATAAGAAAGATTAAGAAGAACGTGTCATTCTTTAACGGAAAATAGAATAAAACTTTAAGCAATTCAGGTACTTCAATCTAATAAACATAAATTGCTTAGAACTATGAATTTGAAAGTATGGACCATTGTCACTTCTCAAGCATTTTGGCTTGCATTCAAAGTGAGTTTCAACTATAGAAATGAAATTTTTTATGAAACAAGATGTTTCAGATTTCAATTTGATGAAATAGACCCACATGATCTAGTTCTATCATCTATACATTAACTGTGAGAAAATTGTGGGGATCAAAGATGGAAGGAAAAAGGACCCCAAAAATGTGTATTATCTCAAAGGATTCAACACATTTTATATGACTATCTGCAAAGAGTAATTTCTTTTGTCTTATCATCTATTTGAGTTGTGTTGGATACTTAGTTAGAGGAAGCTTGAGATAGATAGGCTTGGAATGTTCATTGCATATTGTCCATGCCATTCTTCATTTTAACAACACAAATCAGCTTTCATGTACGTGAGTGAATCTTATACGAGACATTTATGCTGTATTTGGATGCCACGAATATGCAAAGAATAAAAGAGAAAACTAAAGCAATATGATTTTAAGAAGAAAAATAATTATTTTCCTACAGCGCTTTCGATCACGACACACAAAGAAAGTGTTACACTGAGGCGCGCAACAAACTTTTCTCTCAATAGTTTTGCGATCTTCGAAGGGGAGTGTGGACTTTTTTTTCTTTTTTTATTATAATATAAACAATCTTTAAACTAATATAGAACTTTAAAACAACTATTAAGAAAAATAATTATATGAATAATTTTATTTTTAATTATTATAATTTATAAAAATATATTTTATACAATCTACTTAATTCTTTTCACTCTTTTTTTTAACTCGTCAATAAAAGAAGATATCTTTGTTTTCATTTCTTTCTCTTTTGTTTTTACTCATCTAAATAACAATTTTAATGTAATTTGAAAACCAAACCAAATTAAATTACAAAACATTAGTTTATTTTGGATCAATTTTTCAGTTTTTGTTTATTATTAAATTATTTTATTTTTAAAATTTTATTTATTATTATATGACTTTTTATTTATTTTTACTACTTAAAAATTAAAATGAGTTTATTAAAACAAATAAAAAAATAGAGAAAATAAATAATGACTAAAAATATAAAATTATAAAAAGTTATAAATTATTGATAGAGAAATAAAAAATCTTTAATTAAGAAAAATGAGAATTTAAGGAAAATAGAAATGATGCACTATATATTTATACAATGATGATAAAATTGAGTAAAAAAATTTAAAAAATATATAATAAAAATTATAAATATTTTTAGGTTTAGTTTTAAGAAGGAGAACAACAAATTTAATCAAAACGCACGATAAAATGTAATTTTTAGTTTAATCCATTTTTAATTTTTTTTATATTGTTTTAGCAGTTTGAAAACGGTTTGTTTCAATTTTCAACACTCACTAGCAAGTATGTCATATTAATTATTACTTCATCAGATTTAGGTAAAATTTAAAGTATAAGAATTGAAAAAAAAAATATATATATAAGAGATGTATACATACATAATTCAGGTTGAAGATAAAAAGAAAAAAAATGACAGGTCTCATTATTTGAAGGAAAATAAAGAAAAAAAAATAGTTTTGAAGATAATGTACTTTTTGGTGGTACGAAAATAGTGTACGTTAATATTTTAAAAATTGGTACAACTGAGATTTGAGAAAGTAAAACTAAATTTATGATAAAAATAAAAAATATTAAAAATGTAAGTAATTGAGGTTTTTGAAATGATATAAAAAATTTTGAAATTATTAATGTGAAAGTATAAATAATTGAATTTTTTAAAGAATAATATAAAAGAAAAAATAAGTGAAAATGACAAATATTTTTATAAAAAATAATAATTATAAAGCAAAAACAAAGATCAACTGGCAAAAAGTTGTTTCAGTTTAAATTGCAGAGAATATCTTTAAAAAATAAAATAAATGTGTTTCTCAAAAGAGTTTTGAGTTACTTTCAAAACTAGGGAGGCTCTTGCATTGAAGAAGGCAGAGTCCACTTTAGATTTGAAGTTACGAAGGGCAAAGTTTGACAAAGACAAATAGTAATAGCATGTTGGATTGCTTGAGGGGCCCAATGTTGTTACGAGAAAAAGAGAAGGCTTTGCTTTGTTTCATTCAACCGGACAACAAGGGGAAGCAAAGCAAGTGGTGCCGCTTTATTACGCCAACACAACCCATTTAGAATCAATCGCATTCAGTTTCTGTTCTGCTTATAGAGCCAGAGAGTGATGGCCACACGGTCTTCTAGAAAGTTCCTCAGACACGTTTTGTCACTGCGCTCAACTCCACTTCATCGCTTCACGCACTTTTCTTCTTTTTCTTCACCTCCTAAAGTTCCTCACTCTTCCAAGAAGGTACGCATTTTCTCCTCTTGCGTTCTCTTCAGTAGTCTCTTTCTTTGTTTCCATGCTGATACTTTGCAACATTGATCCTAGTGACTTGTTGCAGAAATTTTGTGTTGCTTACTCTCAGTTAGTTCTAGATTGACTTTACTATTGTTGCTAAATATACAGTATTGTGATTAAATCTAGACTAGTATTCTAATCATTATGTTTTACGTCAAACATGGTCTAAGCGATTTGATTTTGGCTAATCATGTTGATTTTTTCTCTGACCTGTTGAATTAATAACTTCGTGGTATCTTTTAATAATGTGATGTTTGTTTATTAGTTGATGTCATTTTTTCTTATCCAGAGGGACTTGCCTTGATTATCAATTTGATTTGTAGGGAAGATTGTTGACTGGAGCTACCATAGGCCTTGTTATAGCTGGTGGAGCTTATGTGAGTACTGTGGATGAAGCTACTTTCTGGTAATTTTCTTTTTAAGTTAGAATTTTTTAATGGAAAATATTAACATTAATTAGCCTTTAGGACTAATTTTCAACCATCCAAAAGTGTTACAGTTTTTTTATTATAAAATTAAGTATTTATTACATAAAAAATATAAAAGTACAATAAATACTTTATTTTTTAGTAAAAACTTTCTACTTTTGTATGCATAAAATCAGCCTTGTGAGCTGATGTTAACAAAACCATTTTTTTTTATCTATTATATTTTTCCTTTTGAATTATACCTTATATATATATATACACATACACACTACAACAAAGATTGAACTCTAGACTACTTGTTCATGGAGGCGTTGATACCATTCCATGAATCACTACACGACAAGCTAAATTAAGTTACAGGAGATTCTGATTAAACAATCAGGCCCTAATTAAGTTATCTGTGATTGATAATTTGACACTAATTTTTGGAGCTATTATGAATTGTGATAGATACCGATTTTATGAGTATGTTTTTCCTTATTAGTATTCTTGTAGTTTAGCTAAGATTGTTTCCTTTCTTTATTCACTTGGTAAATATGGAATCAACCCTGTTTGCGGTACCACATGGAGATACTCTCTTGCATATTTTTTTATCAATTTTATGAAATTGCACACCTCACAAATGAATGGTCCTAATTTGATGTTATGCTCTTTGCAGTGGATGGTTATTCTCAGCAACAAAACTTGTCAATCCTTTTTTTGCTCTCTTAGATCCAGAGGTTGCCCATAGACTAGGTGTCTCGGCTGCAGCTCGTGGTTGGGTTCCAAGGGAGAAGAGGCTTGATCCATCGAGCTTAGGGCTAGAAGTTTGGGGAAGAAAGTTCTCCAATCCACTGGGTCTTGCTGCCGGATTTGATAAAAATGCTGAGGCTGTAGATGGGTTACTCGGTTTGGGCTTTGGCTTTGTAGAGGTTGGTTCTGTTACACCTCTTCCCCAAGATGGCAATCCAAAGCCCCGCATCTTTAGGTTGCGAGAGGAAGGGTAGGAGTTTCTATTTTGTTTCTTTTTCTCTTCTCTTACTAATTAATACTTTAATAATTTTTGTATCAATTTTATCTTGTCATCATTTGTTATTGTTGAGGAGAGAAACAAGAAAACGTAGAATACATAGTGGTGCTATCTGTTTATAATGATAAGTCATAAGGAATACATGATTTACAAGTATCTAAAATCACACTAATTACATAGCTGGAGCATATAAATCTTATGCACCAGGGTTGATACATATATAACTGATATGAGGCTCCCTCCAAGATTTAGTGAAGATATATATTAGTTGATCATTATATTGACGAATTGAGTAATAATATCTTCAAATAAAATCTTTTTCTTAATGAAGTGACAGTCTTTCTCAATGTGCTTGGTCCTCTCATTAAAAACTAGGTTTGAGGCATAGTAGTCAATAGTGGGTGCAATCGCGCGGCTCCCTGCCGCAATTTTGGGGCCATTGTGTCATGGTTTAGTGTAGCAGCTTTTGCGCCATGATTCGCGGCCGTGAAAGGGAAAAATTGTGGCCATCGCGGCTGTTATGTCAAACAGTGGCAAAAGGACACATTTGCCCTTCCTTATGTAAAAGTTGGAATGCTTTTTAAGAGGGCAAATTTTGGAATTCCGTCCCGTTTTATATCACGATGCTCTGTGCTTCTTTGTCTTCACAAGTCAAGATGAAACCGTACCTCCATCCCTCGTTCTCTTGCTTTGTCCTCCATCATTGGCGTCACTTTCTGGTGCAAGTCACCATTTCTGACCAAGTTCCGGTCGTCTTCTTCATTTCTGGCGAAACTTGACTTATTTCTAACATGAGCAGAGAGTAACACAATCATTGGTGAATAAAATAACAATCAATAATACAAGTAAGAGACAATGGATATAGTGGATTAAAAGGGGATCTAAGGACATAAAAAAAGACATTATCAATAACAAAAAAAGAAGAATGGATACAGTGTCAATAACTTGAGGCTGTGTTTGATAATCATTAGTCATAGTGATTGGGAGGAAGAAAATCTTAAAAAAATTGATTTATTACCACTAATGTGATCGGTAGCTTCATAATCAAGAACCCAAAGATCAAGAGAAAGAGAATAGGAGATGCCAGCAAAGGAATTACTGGTTTGCACAACCAATACAATAGAACTAGAAGTTTGACAGACTTCACACTACTTCAGAAGTCATCATAAAAAATAGTCAGTATCTAAGGAGCAGGCAATAGACTGAAGAATCAGAAAGGACCTATGGATTAAAATGAACAACATGAGCTATGGAAGGAGGGTGACCATGGAGAGTATAACAGCAATAAATGGTGTGACTAGACTTATATGACAATGATCACACTGAATGCATGATTTTCCTGATTTGCTAGAACGAGTATAGTCACCCTATAGTCACCCTAATGAAACACCATAGAAGAGAAGTCCACAAGAGGACGAGCCACCTCAACAGATGTCTTAACCATCAGAGCAAGAACTGTTAAGAAACTTGGGCTTAACTTACTCCCAAAAGCTAGTTCATAAAAGGAGGACTGCCCTAGCCCTTATAAAAAGTATTCTAGCTTTATTCCTAACCAATTTGGGACATCTTAACACACCTCCCTCACGCCTAGAACTGAACATTTGATGCGTGAAATTTGCAGGAGTGGACATCTGCATGGGTGGACTCAACAAGATTGGACATCTGTGAGTAGCTTAACTTTCAAATTGAATAGGCTTTGATACCATGTTAAGAAACTTGGGCCTAACTCACTCTCAAAAGTTAGCTCATAGGAAGAGGACTGCCCTAGCCCTTATAAGAAATATTCTGACTCTATTCTTAACCAATGTGGGACATCTTAACAAAAACAATGGGGCACTCCAAGATTTGATCACGAACATTAGAATAAGTCACAGGCAAACCATATAGGGCCAGTAACATAAAGAATTATTGGTGTTGCTCAAGCTCCTTGCCAATTTTGTCCACAAGAAGTAAGAGCTTGTTGAAATCAAGAAAGAGACCAAAGACCCAAGCAAAGTAGGTAGCTATGCAATCATCAAGAGAACAAGCACTAATACCAATCATAAATTTATGAGACTCATGACAAACCACATATAGTCATTGAATGTTATTGGCATATAGGGACTTAGTCTATGCCCATATAGCTTACATTTCTCATGGGCATGGAAAAACAGGTGCAACAAAGTTGGCATCAATCTTCTAACAAGGGCGATCAGCTTCAGCAATAGTTTTAGCCTTTGTGGTGCATCCTACAGGCCAAAAACAAATATTAAAAGCCCAAGCAGCATAATTTTTACCATCCAATTGCTCAATAGAGAAAGGAGCAGTGACGTGGTTAGTAAAAATGGCTGGTTCAGCCTTGGAGGGGTCAGGAGCAGTTATGGGTAGTGTGGAAGAGAGAGAAAAAAGGCCATGAACAGTATCAATCAAAGAGAGAATGCACTGGAAACAAACAAAAAATTGGGAACAAAATGGTTTCTGAAAATTTTTATCTCAATGGGCATAGGTCCACCAAGAAAGCACGAATTAAGGTTGCCCTCATCAGGGTCTAGATGCTATGTTAAGGAAAGAAATAAGAAGGCATAGGATGAATTCATGTGTTTTGAATATATGGCAGAGCTATCTATTTATAATAAGTCATAATAAATACATGATTTACAATTATATAAAATCACACGAATCACATTGTTTCCCTATTTACCATATCATCCTATTTATTTTCATTAATCTCTGGCATTTATATCACCTTCAACACTGGAGGAAGTGACTTTGAGATATGAAAATTGTTAATTTTGATTACATGTACTGTTTTTAGGTTGTTTATGCTGTCTTTTCTTCAAGACTGATCAAGTTAATGTGCACTGTGCAGCGCTGTTATAAATAGATGTGGCTTTAATGGTGAGGGAATTGTTGCTGTAGCAAGGAGGCTGGGTGCTCAGCATGGTAAGAGGAAATTAGATGAAACTTCAAGCACAACTTCCAATGATGAAGTGAAAAATGGGGGAAAATCTGGCCCTGGCATTCTTGGTGTCAATCTTGGAAAGAACAAGACAAGTGAAGATGCTGCAGCAGACTATGTTCAAGGAGTTCATTCATTGTCCCAGTATGCTGATTACTTGGTAATCTTTTTCTACATATTTTTACTCAAAAATAGAAATGAAAAAGAGAAAACTAAATTTTTTAATCCTTCCCTGACATTTTTGTGTACAGTTGATTCATGTCTTACATGGTAGGGATGTCTTGAGGTTAGATAAGATAAGATAGGTTCAGTCAATGATTAAGTAACCTTCTCTGTTCCCTGGGCTTGAAATGTATGTCATGAAATTTTAACTTGTTATTTTAAAGAAGAAAGGTTTTGGTTATGCTGAATTTCTAACAACAGAAAAGAAAAGCGGAATTTTCTTCTAAATAATGGGGAAAGAAGAGGAAAAAAAGAAGATAATTAAGGAATTGATGGTAAGGGCTACCCAACCTGATATGATAGTGTGGGCTCTTATTGGGTTAAGCCAAAAAAGTACCCAATTAGTCAGACCTCTAAAATAGTAGTCCAGACCCGAGCCAATGTGGGATGGCCTGCATAACAACTCATTATTTCTTTTTTGTTTAAAAATCTATTTAGTGTATAGTTAAGTTAAGCCTATATTTTCAACATAAAGCATTCAAAAAATTAATATATCCGATCAAATAAATTTAAAACATTCAAACACATTAAAACCCAACATATTAAAAATAAAAATCCATCATCAATCCATCTAGTAAATTTAAATGTATCTAGTATCAAGGTGAAAATTCAAATATAATTACTTTTGTACTTAGGGAGAGACCGGCCCACATAAAGTGACATAAGTAGCGGACTTGATGGCAAAATCAAATGACCAATTGATTCTAGGCTAGAACAGTACAGCACATGACCCACATAAAAAGAAAGATAAATATGTGGCCTGCAAACTTGATGCACTTTGGATAATTTGGAGTCTTTGCTTTTGGTTAAAATACTATATTTGATTAGACTTCTTTTATCCCTTTCCAGGTGATTAATGTTTCATCACCCAATACCCCTGGCCTGCGCACACTTCAAGGAAGAAATCAATTGAAGGATCTTGTGAGTAAGGTAGAAACTACTATCTGAAGCTTTCTCTGGGTGCATATCTGGCATAATTGAGAGATTGACTTTAGCAAAATATGCTTTCCTGAAGGTTCAAGTTGCTCGTGATGAAATGCAATGGGGTGAGGAGGGTCCCCCTCCATTGCTTGTAAAAATTGCTCCAGATTTGTCAAAAGATGACCTTGAAGATATTGCAGCGGTAAGTATATGCTTGTTAATGGACTTGTTCCAATTTCTATCATGTCATATTCTGTATAACAATTTATATTCTGATGATAGGTTGCCTTGGCTCTTCACTTGGATGGACTGGTACCTCACATTCTCTCTGCTGTAATTTTATTTATATTCATATGTGGATATGCTGTCTATTTCTGTTGCTTTACTTTACTTTATTGATTGACCAGCCTTGTTAGGAGACAGTGTAGAAGATGCCTAAATGGATTATAAGATCCCTATACCTCCTTGGCTCTCAAATTTGTATGATAAGCATATAGAGATGACAGAAGGGAAATAATATACATTGTTTTACACTTTCACTTGTGATGAAAACTTGCTGTCAAATTTATTATTCTATCCTGCCTGTTCTAGTATACAACTCATTTATGATACAGAAACCATAGAAGAACATTGTATAATATCCATTTCGTTTTACCTTAATTTATTTTTGTTTGTAGATAATATCAAATACAACCATTTCAAGACCAGATTCTGTCAGTAGGAATCCAGTGGCTGCAGAAACTGGCGGCCTGAGTGGGAAGCCTCTCTTTGATCTCTCTACCAATATCCTGAAGGAGATGTATATCTTGACAAAGGTATGGATGTTGGTTTATATTGTAAGTTTGTTTTAAACACTAATGAGATAAAATTTCGTTTAGTTCATGCCAATGTTATCAATTGTTATCAATAGCAAATGACAAGTCATGGTGGAAAGCCAAAATACCACCATAAAATTATGGCGGGTGCCATGACAGCCATAATAAAATAATATAATATATCTACAAAAATATATATATAAAATAAAGGTGCAAAATGTGATATAAAACCGAAAACTAAATACGCGTCAAAATTAAGAATCTAATTGATAGTAAATCATCAAATAATATCTATGCCTCATAACAAGATCTCATAATAACATAATAGCATAAGTCTCAAAAGTTCAATACAAACTAAAAGCTATCATACCTAACTCACTCCCAAAAGCTAGCTCATAGGAGGAAAGAATACTCTAGAGCTCTATTCCTAACCAATATGGGACATCTTAACATATCCCCCTACGCCCAGGCTTGGACATATGGTGCGTGAAATTTACAGAACTGTACATCTGCATGGGTGGATCCAACAGGACTGGACATCTGTGGGTAGCCTAATGTTCAAATTGAATAGTCTCTAATACCATGTTGAGAAATTTGAGCTTAACTTACTCTCAAAAGCTAGCTCATAGGAGGAGTAGCCCTTATAAAAAGTATTCTGGCTCTATTCCTAATCTTAATCAACGTGGGACATCTTAACAAAAACAAAGTGATAAAAAAGAAGAAAAATAGAAAGACTAATTAGTGAAGCTTGTTGGATTAATCTGATTAGCTGCCTTTGAAGAATTTGAGGAAGCCTGTTGCTAGGCCATGTTAAGGAAAGCACTTGAAATTCTGAATTTTATTGTCATTATACATTGTAATTTACATGTATATATAGGATTCTGATCCTAATATTTACATGAGAGAATATCCTAGATTATCTTCTAATAATCATAGAGATAATGACAAATAATTACAAAGATAATAAAAATAAATAAGTACTATAAATCATAATAATTAGGAGACATTCTCAACACTTCACCTCAATATGGTGAATGAATATTTATCATTCCCAGATTGCATGAAAGATCTTGGAATTGCTTAGGCTCAGCTGCCAATCCCTTAGTGAATATATCGTTAGTTGATTTTTGGAAGGGACACAAGTGGTAGTTGAGACCATTATCCAATTTCTCTTTAATGAAATATCAATCAAACTCTATTTGTTTTGTCATATTATGTTGGACAAGATTATGAGCTACGTTGCAGGCTTGTTATCACACGACAGTTTTATAGAACCACTGAACTTTTAATTTAAGGTCATCAAGAATGATCTTCATCCATAGATGTTCACACACACCTTGAGCTATAGCTTGGAATTCAGCTTCAGCACTTAATTTGGCTACAACACTTTGGTTCTTGTTCCTTCATGTCACTAGATTTTTTCCTAGAGATATTTAATATCCTGAAGTGGATCTTCTGTCTACAATGAAACCTGTATAGTCAACATCTATATATATCTCCAAGGAGAAAGATTCTCCCCTTTTAAAGAGAATGTCCTTTGCAAGACTTCTTTCAGATATTGGAAAATTTTGTTCACTGCTTGTAAATGTCTTTCATGTGCATCATGCATGAATTGATAGACAATGCTAACAGCATATGTAATGTTAGGTCTAGTATAAGATAGATAGATTAGCTTTCCTACTCGTCTTTTGGTATTGGGCTTTGTCTAAAGTAGGACTCTCCTATTCTCTTGTTCAATGGTTTTGTTTTATAGGTACTCTAGACTATAGTAGCCTTACATTCCAATTTTCCAATTTTCCAATTTCTGAGAAAATCTAGAACATATTTGTTTTGAGAGATAAAAATTCTCTATTTTGAGTAAGTAACCTCAGTTCCCAAGTACTTCAGTCTTCCTATATCTTTCATCTCAAATTGAGCAGCTAGTTTCTCCTTTCAAGTTCTATTTTTCAATCTCATCTCTCTTGCAATGATCATATCATCCACATAAATTAGCAAGTTTTAGTTCACCATCTTGTGAGTGTTTATGAAAAGAATATGATCACCTTGCTGTATCCTAAGGACACCATAGCTTGAGAAAATCTCTCAAACCAAGCACGGGGAGATTGTTTAAGCCCATATAGAGCTTTCTTCAATTTGTACACTTTGTTTCCACCATCAATAGTGGCAAATCCTAGGGGAATATCTATATATACTTCCTTTTCTTAGTCTCCATGCAAGAATGGAAATTTTATATTAAGAATATCCCCACCAAATAATCTTGCTCAATTCCCTTCAACAATCCCACATATTACTCAAACTATTCTATGTAATCCTCTATGGTACCCATTTGCATCAATTCAATCTGGTTTTTCATCCTAGTAAGTTGGAACCCCCTTACCATTGTCATTTTGAAAGATTCCCAAGTCGAATTTGGATTACAAGATTCCCCCACTGAAACTAGTTTAGGGCCTTTTCTTCCAATGCTATCATCACCGGTTGGATCCATTCCTCCTTTGTCACCTCTTTGAAACGGAAATATCTCTCCGATTTATTTGTCCACCCATATCCCTCTCTTTGAAATGGAAATGTCTCTCCAATCTATTTGTCCACCGATATGCCTCCTCCCCTGCAAAAATGGGTATATCGAGTTTTTGCCGTCGAGAATTGTGGCTTTGTTGTAGTCATTTGCTCTCTAACCCTGCACTCAAACCCTCGTCATCAGCATTTTGTGCACAATTTTGTTTCTATCCTTGTGACAATACTTGTAGGTAGCACATGTGATATTCCTGATTATATCTTCGAGCTTTTGGAAGCACTCATGTTGGATGTTCTCTTGATGCTCTCTCACTATTTGCCTTGAAGTGTTTGCTCCAAGATCTCAATCCTTGATTCCATCCCTCTATTCACCATAGATTTTGACCGGCACCACGGTACCAAGATCGGCGCTATGATACAAGTTGATAGATGATGACAAACACGATCTGTATTGCCAAATTAAATGATCTTGAATTGAATTGTAGACAACAAAAAAAATAGAATTATTAAGATAAGAATAAGAATTGAAATAAGAAGAAAATAATAAAGCGAAAATAGAATAGAGATGAAAAATGATACCATAATTGCAAGATTGATAAGTTAAAAGAACAATCGCCACAAGAGTCTTACCCTCTTGTTAAGATTAAGAAAAATTGGCTCATTGAAAATTTAGAGTCACATACTCTCACAATAGTGTTTAATCTCAAATTGTATTCAAAACTAATTAAAAGTGTGTCTACAAGAGCATATGTATGTCTAACACTCATAAATCAACACAAATACAACCCTAACGGCTTCTTGTGCTAACAAGCCCAAATCCAAATAACTAAATTAAAATAAGATTTTATTCTAAATGAAAGCTCAAAGCAAGTCATAATGAACATTAAAATAACTAAATTAAACATAATAATTAAATTCTCATGAGACACATTGGAATCTAAGTTCTTTTAAGTATATGTAATTGACTATTTTAGGTTCTTTTAACACTAAATTGGGTTTACTTTTAAATATGACAACAACTATCTTTTCTAGGTTTTCTTTTATCTTCTTTGTCTTTACCTTTGTCATTAGTCCTTGAAGTCTTTTCAATGCTTTCAAGCTTTTTTCTTCAATGGTCCATCTTTGATTTTCATCAATCCCTCCTTCAAGAGAATTTGTCCTCAAATTTGACTCTTCATCACCATTCTTTGTCCTTAACAAACTTACAATGAAATTCATACAAACATCAATTTGGAACAGGTAATGGAGTAGATAAACCATGGGAATTTATCTTCGATTTAGCCGTCTTGCACGCAACATACCTTTCATAGAATTTATAAACACAATGTTTCGTTCTAGGACAAAAAAAGTGTTCTTGCAAGATTATTAAGGTTTTAGGTATACCAAAATATCCCATCAAACCACCTTCACGAGCTTCCTTTACAAGCAAGTCACAAATTGAGCATTTAGGCACACAATTTATTCTTCTTAAACAATGAGTTTTTTTTTTTACAAAACGCATATAATTCAGCAAAGTTATCACGCCCATAAAGTTCTTTTACATGTTCAAATTCAAGCAATTTTGTATCAAATATAGAAGGCAAAACATAACGTCTAGATAATGCATCAGCCACTACATTCATTTTACCTTACTTATGCTTAATAACATAAGGAAACTGTGCTAAGAACTCTACCCACTTAGCATGCCTTTTATTTAATTTCCCTGGACCCTTAAGATACTTCAATGATTCATTCATGGTCATTATGGATCACAAACTCTTTAGGTAAAAGGTAATGTTGTCATGTTTGAGTGTCCTAATCAAAGCATAGAATTCTTTATCATAAGTAAGATACTTCAAACATGCCCCATTAAGTTTTTCACTAAAGTAAGCAATAGGATGTCCTTCTTGCATCAAAATAGCCTCTATTCCAACATTAGATGCATTATACTCCAATTCAAAAGATTTAACAAAATTAGAAAGTGCAAGTATGGGTGCATACATAAATTTATTCTTCAAAGTATTAAAGACTTGTTTCTTTTACCATTTAAAACTCACATTTTTCTTGATAACTTCGTTTAAGGGTGCCGCAATGATACTAAAAATCTCATAAAGCGCCTATAAAGCTTGTTAACCCATGAAAGCTCCTCATAAACCAACACAAACACAATCCTAACAAACTTCTTGTACCAACAAGCCCAAATCCAAATAATTAAAGAAAATAACAATATTTTATCCTAAATAAAAGCTCAAAGCAAGTTATGACTAACATTAAAATAATTAAATTAAACATAGTAATTAAATCCTAATGGAACTCATTTGAGTCTAAGTTTTTTAAGTATATGTAATTGACCATCTTAAGTTCTTTTAACTCCAAATTGGGTTTACTTTCAAATAAGACAATAATAATTTTCTCTAGGTTTTTCTTTATCTTTTTTGTTTTTATCCTTGTTATTTGTCTTTGAAGTCCTTCCAATGCTTTCAAGTCTTTTTCTTTAATGAACCTACTTTAATTTTCATCAATAGAACTAGATAAAAAATACAAGAAAAGAACTTCTGATTTTATTGAGAACCCTAATTCCCAAGTCAGTATCAGAGTGATAGTGATTTAGAATTAGGTGAAAGAATTACAATTGTTTACCACGAGGTTATTTGAGAGAATCCCACTCTCCAACGCCTACTCAAATATCAATGACAGAAAACATAACTGCCCAACTAATCCATCATATGACTATTTATAACATTAATTAATACAAAATTACATCTGTCATAACCTCTAAAATTGATTAGTTAGTGAGTTTCCCACCTATTCCCTTCCCTTCTTTCTACTCTACACTCCTGGATCTATCATCTCACTGATTTGTTTTAGTTCTTTTTTATGCAGCTAGGATACAGTGTATTTGGTTTAACTTATTTTAAAGAAATACTCACTTATATTTTTAAACTTCATAAGAGAGATTTTTTGAAAAATTAGCGATCATTTCTCTAAAAATTAGCAATTCCAAACATGCACATACTATTTCCTCATTTGGCTATCTTACTAATGCCCATCTACATTAGTTGAGCTCTAATTTTCTGTGCTCTAGTGTTTTGTCGTATGATGTTCTTTCTTCAATTTGGTTTGTTTATATACATGTTAGTCATGCTTGACAACTTGATAGTTTCATATTTATCAGGGCAAGATTCCTTTGATTGGCTGTGGGGGCATTAGCTGGTAAAAGCTACATTTCCCAATCATTCTCCTTCATTGCTGTAGCTCTCTTTAGTATTCCTTATGAATAATTTTAAAGGATAAATAATAATACAACTAATTCTCCAAAGCTTTATGTCAATGTAGTGGGGAGGAGGCATACAAGAAAATACGAGCTGGAGCAACTCTTGTTCAGCTTTATACTGCATTTGCTTATGGGGGACCTGCACTTATTCCTCAGATAAAGGTATTAGCCGTACACATCTTAAATACTGGCTGATTGATGACTCTAAAATCAAATACAATTACTTATTCACCAAAATTAAGCCTCTAAAATGAACAGTATAAGAATGGAATGTTTCTATATGTTGAGTATGGTGTATGTGTGAGGTTTGTCTTGTTTCATATTGTACTTTCTACTAGACCAATTGCTACATTTTATTCAGAAATATTTTAGCACATATATGGTTACAGTATTGTTATACGTGTACTTGCGGATAAAAAAAGGTATTATTTAAAGTCTATGTGGAGGGGATTACCCATTCTTCTCTTTTTGTGATCAATGTTTTCAATATAAGATTTAACTACACAACGTGACACGTTTTCACTCATTGGTTTTAGGGTGAATTAGCGGAATGCTTGGAAAGAGATGGTTTCAAATCCGTTCAAGATGCTGTTGGTGCAGACTTCAGATGACTTTGATTCGCACGTGAATGCTGTGCTGTCAGGGAGATGCTATCCGTATACCAATGCTCCACTTGATTTGTTTGGTCTCCTTATTTATAATTAATAATACTTACCCGATTTTAATTCTCTGTCTTGTTCTAATACTGGGTTGTGTTTGGCGGTGTATTCCGCTGTGTCCCTATTGGATAAGGATTGACTAATTTTACAGGTCAGATTTTGACCAAAAAACAAGGGCAATTGGGTAATTTACTTTCTGCTCGTGGTGTCCAAACAACCATGCCTCCTCAGTGATCAAGAATTCAAAAACAACGATCATTTTATTCAAAGAATATAAGGTGATCATATGGTCACGAGGCCAATTAATCCAAGTTCATTAAATTTCATGGGTTCAAATATTTTCATTGAAAATTTACATTAAAAAAAGTTTGCATGTCCTGGGCGGCAAAGAGAAATATTAATGGAGATATCAAATGTTGAAAGAATAAGAGAACAAATATGTTCTGCAGATGATTGTCTTTTCTATTATGCATTAGCTCTTATAAAAAGTGCAGAGTCAAAATTGAAAACAAATACATTCCTTATTTTTAAGCATTACTAACAGTATTCTAAATTAATAGAAAACAAAATTAAAAGCTCCTAAAGACTAGGTTCTAAATTACAGAAAATTAAAACTTTTTAAAATTGAATTTTGGAAGACCCTTTGTTAAGATATCTCTACATTTTGATCTTCAGTCTTGCAAAACAATAGCTTGACTTCACCTTCTCTCCGCACCTCCCTTAAGAAAAACAAACATGATCTTTAAAATGTTTAAGTCTTGCCATGAAAAATATGACTGCTAGAAATTGAGATTGCAGCTTGATTGCTAGTAAAATTCTGTGTTGGTATACTCTGCTCCATATGTAAATGTGAAAGTACTTTTCTCAGCCAAATGGTTAGATTCACAGCAGCTAAATATTCTGCCTCATTATACTTTGAGCCATGACATCTTACTTTTTTTTAACACCATGAAATCCCACGAAGTTGAAAATTTTGAGAGTGAGTATACTTGACGTCATAGTTAGCAGCTCTAAAGCATGAGTATACTTCTTTCCTTTAAGTACTTGGGTATGAGTACGCAATGAGTATGTACTCAGTATGTATCCACACAAAAAAAATGTGAGTACATAAAGTGGATACACATGTACATTCGTGGTATGAGAAGGAAAATTTTTTTAAGAAAAAATTAAATTTTTAGGTTTTTTTTTTGGGCCCAAAAGTCTAAGTCGGTTCCTTTCTCCTCACATATTTGCAGTCTAGCTTCTAGCCTCCACTTCCCTATACCCATACACTAGCCTCCATCCTCTGGTGTGTAGTGGCAACGTGCATCCAACGGCGAGCATCCATTAGCAACATGCAACGGCAGCAAGCGTCCAACGTGCAGTGAACGCTTGCAGTGGCGGTGTGTAGCTCCATCTTTGCTCTATCTCTGCTCAAAGGTAAGCTTCAAATTTGAAATGAATCTCATGTGAGGTCATGGTGTGGTTTTGGGATGTATATAAACATTAAGCTTTTAACTTTTTATCCATAAAGCATATTATCAAATCTGCTCCAAACATTTGTGTATTTTAGGAACACTAAACTTGATTTGAATTCTAAAATAAATTAGTGATTCATATTTATTAATTTATTCTATAACAGATGCAATCACAACATTCTAGTAGTGGGTTTGATAGTGGTTCTGGGACATCTTTGACTAATAAATTTGCTACAGGAAGAGGGTAAAAATCTTTTCTAGGGTCATGTAACTTTACTACAAAGTAAAAAAGATGGAAGAGGAAATGCAAGTTGGCGTTAAGAATCTACAAGGGTTCTTATTTTAGAGTGAAATCCCATTTATTAAAAGAAAGGAGACATAGGATAGCTACTTGTTTATTTGTGTTAGATGAATATTTGCAAGAGATTATGCTTATGTCATTAGAAATTTTATCATGAATCATTTTATGATACTAGCCATGTTTAATCAATTTATGCATTTGAAGCTACTTGCAATTGTTGAGACTATATTTGCCTCAACCATTATTATGTTTAAAAAATTGAGAATTATTAAGCATGGTCTCTAATCTATGATTATTAGTGAAGAATGGTCTCACTATAAGAAAGAGGATATTCAAAAGACTGCTTTTGTAAAAGAAACAATTTTAAATAATAATTGGTGAAATAAAGTTGATTATGTTCTAAACTTTACAAAGTCTATTTATGATATGCATTGTTCTTTTGATACTAATAAGCCAAGTCTTCACTTAGTTTCTGATAAATGAGATTCTATAATTGAGCAAGTGAAGTTAGCAATATATCAAAAAGAGGGCAAGGAGTTGAATCAACATTCATCCTACTATGATGTAGTTTATAACATCTTAAAACTAATTTGATTCTTTGCAAGATAGGTGGAGCTTAAAACTAAAGGAATGGTTAGTTATGTATGGAGTTGCAATTCTCAAACTTTAGTCCATTGCCTTGAAGCTTCTATCACAACAATGTTCTTCTTGTTGTAATAGAAATTTGAGTACATATTCCTTTATCCACTCTTTGAAAAGAAATAGGTTTAATCCTAAAAAAGTTGAAGATTTAGTATTTATACACACAAATCTTCGTCTTCTCCTCAAGGAAAAATAAGAATTATACTGAGGGTGAGATTACAATGTGTGATATTTGTAACGCTCCGAGTTTTGTAATATATTTTTGTTTATTAATATATGTATATTAAGGATTTATAAGTAAATGTGCATTTTGATTTATATGATAATGATGTTATTATGTGTAAATACTTATGGATGTGTATAAATGTATTTGTATATGATGGTTGAAATGAGAATGTTTGACTTGTGATTGGTTTGTATTGATTGGAAAATAGGCTAAGAGTGTATTGCAGGGACATTCTCCCTGTAGCGAGAAGGCAACAGAAAGGGGTGCATTTCTAGGTTGCAGTCTCGCTATAACGAGAGGGTTTCGCTGTAGCAAGATTTTGCAGAAACCAGCGTGCAGTTTCCTCTGATATTTTTGCTGTAGCAAGAAAGGGTGTCGTTGTCTCGATGTAGCGAGAACATCGTGACCAAAGGGGTATTTGACGGGTTTAAGGTTTAAAAAATTCATTTCTCATTTCTCTTTTTGAAATCTCTTCGATTCTCTCAACCCTCAGCCCTATTTCACCGTTTAAATTGTCTCCAAAGCCATTTGTGAGAAAGATTAAAGGTTGAGATTGTGTTTGGAGCGTTTGAAGGTAAGTTTTATGGGCTAGGGTTTTGTTCCTTTGTCCTTTTCTTCGTTTTCATGAGTTCTCATGGAGATTTTCGATGTGTTTAGGACGAGATCCACGTGGGGAGCCTTTTCATTGTCGGTTTTGTATTTGGGTCTTCAATCTTAAGTAAGGGAGGACTCTACCCTATCTCATTGTACTTAGAAATCGTTTATTTGGAAGTGTATTGTAATGTGGTTAGAATGAAACGTAGGAAGAAGTGTATTATGATGAAAATGGTTTGGTTGTGATGGAATTTTGATGGAAATGTGGGGTGCAATATAATGTGATTGCTATTTGAGAAAGGTGTATGATGGATAGTGAATGTTGTGTGTGATGAAATGATGTTGAAAATTGTGTTTGAGTATAATGTGGTTGATATGTGTGAACATGCCATTTGTTAATGACGAATGATATGAAATGGTTGAGAGTGTGTGGAAATGACATGTTAATTGTGATTGTGATTATGTTTGAATATGTTGGAAAACTATGAATGATTCAGCGATATATTAGGGGTGTGCAAGATGAGGGCGATAGAAATACCTTAGGGAAGAGAGGGTGGTGGTGACACCAACAGTGAGCATGGGTGCACCACAGACCACATGTAGCGACCTTTTTAGTACTAAAACTCTGATACCAACTTTTATATCATAGTAGTTCAGAAAACACCAAAATCTGGTAAATTTTTTTTCTTATATATACAAATATAAGTATAGGTTCCCTTTTTCTAGAAAGAGAGAGTTAATATGCATATCTGAATTACATCCAACACCTTGTCACTTCATAAATGAATTATAATATCAAAATCTCCTAATCGATAGTATACTAGAGTGAAATCAATCATAATACCATGATCTGAAAGTGCCTCCATATATTATAATCATCAGTTGATCCATCAAGAAAATTAGTCATAGTTTAAAATAAGATAACATTATCCAAATATAGTAACATAACATAACTAGACTTCCTAAGAGCAGTTCCCCTAATACATAAACAAATAAAACATCAGTTATAAGGAGAGTACTCCTTAATGGGATCAAACCGCTCAGAAGAAGTAAGCGAAGAAGAACTAGAAGCAGCAACAGTAGTAGCAGAATCTTTACTACTCTCCTCAATCCATCCAGTAGTGCGAGGAGATGAACGAGTGATAGATATCTTCCTCAGAAGGTGGGATCCATACCTTCACCTTGTTCTTGTCCCTCTATATAGATAAAAGAGAAGAACGACACAATACAACACAATTCAAAGGGATGAGTTCTCCACGCACAAACAATAATCAAATAGCCATACCCCAAGGAAGGCGGCATCACAAACACAAGCACTTTCAACAATCAGCATTCACCATCATCAAGTACTCAATAATATAGTAGAGGAATAAAGAATATTCATATTCGTTACCAATTTCGCAATCAATCAATCATTCCTAGTAATAATACATATGATGCATGAATGTAGGTTTCAACCTCACTCATTATTGTCTCTCATGTTTCGATAGTATGCAATGATGCATGAGGATCCCATCACTCTATGACTAGCGACTTGCCTAGTTTTTACCATAGAGTCTCACAGATAGATAGATAGATTCAAGTCGTAAGGCGATCGGAGGACTCCATTCCCTGCATTTAGATTGGCACAGTAGAATAGAATAGAAGCAACATTTAGCTTTAGTAGAACACCACTGTTGTTTGGCCTAAGATGGGTCTCTTCGGGAATGGACCTCAACGACCATAGAATGTGCAGTTCTTGTCAGGTTTGGCTAAGGTTTGCAGTGGGTCACGACCCGCATCACTGTTGCCACTTAGGTCGACTGTTCCCCTTTTTGCCACCCCCAATAGGTCTACTCGGGACCAAACCTACAACACCTCCAAGCTGTGCCACGATAATGCCTTCAAGTCGTTCAAAGAAATAGTATGATGCATGAAATAGTATTTTTCAATTTTCTTTGATAGTTTTCTCATTTCATGT